ATCAATCCAGCTAATAGTATAGTTCTTTTTATAGAACACTGATTGGTATATTGATATTTAGATCGAATGTTTATTTTCATGTGCAATTATAAATTTTCCTTATTTTAAATCGGTTTGGTTAAATCTTTTGAATTAAGAGTCACTTTTTAGATCACATATTCATTTCATAGTTTAAAGCCAGAATTATGTAAATTTTGTAGTACCTAAAAGCATATTCGATTCATGATATGAATGAAGTATTAAGTACAAAAGTGACTAGAAAATAAATGATCAAAAACTTAAAACTTGATTTCTAACTTATGAAATTTTGCAATTTATTAATTTGAGATTGCTACAATTTGGTCAAATCGATTATTTTATTTAAATAAAAAATAAAAACTATCAGGATTTAAAGAGAGTTGCTACATTGCTAATTAAAGAAATTGTAGCAGGATTTATTATCGTTATCAAATGACAATTTCAAGTACTTTATTGCTGTCCCTTTTATTATCTAAAAGCCGCCGCCCTAGTATCGTCATGAGTTTGAACTACCGCTACGTACTGTTCAAAAAATTTTTATTGTTAGCGTCAACAGTATCCATATGCAGACCATTAGAACTGACTGGTTACCGTTGCCGTTACGTTCTACATGTATTTATTTTCACAATTCCTGGCATTGTGAACCGGATAACGTCATTATTGATTTAAGCATAATTTTTTACCATAACATTTTCATGTTATAAAGGCAAATGAATACTCAATGTATCGTGGTGTTGTTCAACGAACGAAAAGCAAATAATACTTCAATTAATAGCGTTAGCGTTAGCGTTAGTACAATGAATTGAATATTTAGATATACGTAATTGAATGATTGGAGATTCAAATTACAGAAAAGTTACGTAATAGCTTTTTGACTCTTTATTTTAGATTTTACTTTTAATTAATTTAAAAAATTTGAAAAGATTATTCTTATAGAATGATCAAGACAAATTTTTCTATATCATAATTACATTTATTAGTCACATTTCTGCTGATGCCTTCACTTAAACTAACTATTTAAACAGCCAATAAAAGTATCAATAAAACTATAATCATAATTTGCTAATCGAAACAACTATAATTTTTCCATATGTGTAGAGCATTTAATTAAAGCTTATAGGAATTTTTCACTAACTTGAAAAAAATCTAATTCAACTCAATAATTTACAGTTTAGGGAATTCGGATGTTAAGGATTCGAAATCAAATATGTTATTTCTGCACTACTTGAAACACTTCATAATCTTCAATTTCAAAATGGATATCTTCTCCTGTATCGCTCATGAGGCCATGCTCGTACGAGCGTTTGGCGCAATAATGTCCCGAGGATGTAAACAATGCCAAATCGTATCCAGATCCAAAAAATGGACCACGATTTCTATAACAGCTTATGCTCAAGCCTTTCACATATCTGCTCAGAACTGCGCCGTTATGGATATTGTTTAAATCAAATTTAAATAGGAAGCTTCGTTTCTCTTCGTAATAACATTTGTTGAGTGAGTTCCATTCAAACGAATTATATCCACCTATTATCTTTTTTTGACCTTTTATACGAATCGCAATCACTGTCGGTCCTTTATCGTCACACAATTGATGAAATTCACTAACGGATATTCCATTACGACTCCCGCGTAATAATAACTTTAGATCGATTGATTTGTTTTCTTTAGTATTGTCTTGTGATTTTATCCATTCAATTACTTGGTAGATTTGATACTGCGAGAGAACTGTCGTGGAAGAAATTCGTACAGGATATAGTCTAATCTGATAATCTTCACTTCCTGGAACAACGATATTATGCCATAAATCTTTATACAGCTTTGCCGGTAAAAGTTTAGAATATGGTATCACTTTGTTGCAAAAATCCATGGGATTAATATGAAAGAAACGGATCAACGGTAAACAATTTTTGAGTGTGCCCTTAAGTTGATTAAATTCTCTTGGCGACCATCTTTCCACCGGAATCGCAAAATCAGAATTGTAAGTGGCTGAGGCTTGGGCTTTTCCCCATTCAAGTACTTTTTCCCAAATTTCAATTTCGTTAAGATTTAAATCATCACGTTTGAGTATCGACACTAAAGTTATCTCTTGAAGACTTCGAAAATTACTTGCATTAAGTTGAATCGCAGGATTTTGAAATGCAATATCTGCACAGAAATTATTAAGTCGGTTAAAAGAGTAGTGTTCAAATGCAATTTGATTGATCAATTCGAAATTCTCTGCCATAGTTTTACGATGGTGCTTCAAAAGATATCCTTGAATATATTCAATCAAATCTTCATTTATCAATTCGTCTGCTGCGACCAATAAATCCAATAGAGTAGGCACTCCATGATCTTTTAATTCAATCTTTCCGCTATACATGTATCTGTAATGAGAAAAGCATTCTTTAGTCTGTTTATTTTTTCTTTTTGAAATACAATATAGCACGTCATGTACATGTATTTACTTTAATAAAATCTCAAAAATACGAGGCGAAATATTCGGTTTCTTGAAGACAATCATTTTATTCGGTTCTCGCTTTACCCACACAGTTGAAAGCGCTACTGCAAAATATTCGGACTGCGCCATCAAGATTGCTGAATGAGCAGAAAAAGTACGTTGAGTATTTTGAGCATCACCGACGGTTATCGATATATCACAATATTGGGAGTTTTCGTAGAATTTTGCAAATCGATTTGAGTAAGAAGTCAGAAGAAAGTCTGAAGTCATTTTAATAGTATAGATGATTCTAATAATCAGAAGAAAAATATTCTCGTATTAAATAGTCGGTTTCTAATACACATGTACGATACGTAATTATCATCAAAGAGGTTTGGCGATCAAAATTTGTGGCGAACCCGCCCGATGTTTCTTAGCGTTAGTGTATGATGACCGTATATATATGATCGCCAAAATCATACCATTTTTGGTACAAAATAATGTGCACATATAATTTTATATAATTTCGTGTATTGTTGTGCAGACAACAATCATGTACACAAATCCTGTGTTGTACCATTCCGTGCTCTTTTCCATATCGATATCAGTATCGATACGTATGCGTAAAATGTGTCACAATTTACTGTCAAATGCATTACACAAATCAAGTCAATTTTCACTTCTACATTACGTATTCGCTTATACGTACGTACTGTACTCTAACGCTAACGCTAATGTGCCAAAGGCTTTGTATGTTTTCGAATAAACATAATAACGATAACGACAATTTGTTAATTCTGTGAATTTGCCGATCATAAATCACACTTTTTGCCATTAACGTTAATAAAAGTGCTATAGAAGCAAAATTACAATTTTTAAGCTATAGGTTAAAAGAATTAGAAGGTGCAATGTTTTCCCACACATAACATTTATATTATCATAGAAGTAAATGTGACAATTGGAAATCAAAATTATTATTTATAGTTAACTATTTTCTTTATCATGAGTTAAAGAACTCACTCAGCTCAGTTACTCTTTAGCTTTGAAATATTTATTAGAAATTTATCATACATATATTATAATCTCGTTAAATTGGACAGTTCGATAATCCGGAAATGCCTAATCAGACAAAGATCAACAAAGATCTCCCATAAACAAGTTCAGCCTAACATGTGCAGTTTAACAATGAAATATGTACAGTATACGTAGCGATAGCTTATCGTTATGGAATTTCAAGATATAGATATCTGGAGATAAATACAGTCAACTCCCCCCCCAATAGAACAAAAATTACAAAACTCCAATTTATATTTTATAAAACCGGATTTATAATAGTCCAAAGTATATAATACACAGGTTGGTACTCCAGTGATTTTTTTTAGTAAAATTCCGGATTACTTATGGTGCATAAAATCTAAAGTCATCAAAACGTTTGTATTTTATAAAATGGAAAAACTTCTTTACTAAGAAGTAAATAATCCGTGAATATGATAGAATAGGCCTTTTCTGAGCATATTCACGGATTAAATTTTGTATTTACTTCTTAGTAAAGAAGTTTATCCATTTTATAAAATACAAACGTTTGATGACTTTAGATTTTATGCACCATAGTGATATTATTGAAGTTCTCCGGAATTCAATGGATGGATTATCAAAAACCACTAGAATACCAATCTTTTTCTACATATGGTATAGTTGTCGAGTCGTACGTAAACTTGTATGTTATAGCTAAATGGTATGGGTGATGTCAAATGGTACTTGCTTTATTATTTTTTATCAAGTTAACATATCCCTTCCGACCAAGTATAACATACTACAGTACTGGACCGCATAAACCACACAATACTGCGCCAAAACGCCAAAATTTATTGTAGATCTTATAATGATTTAAAGAATTCTGATTGGTCAAATGAAATATTATGTATAACTTTTTGAAACAAAATAAAATAAAAAAATCCTCTTACAAAATTATAGTTTTACTAAAAAAAAAAAACTATCAATCTGTAAGAGGAAGTTTTTATATAATTATTGAGTATCAAATTATTAAAATTGGATGGTTTATGCTGTCCCGATACTGCAAAATCAGTGTACATGTATTGAAAATTGGTACGTAAAGTGATTTAATATAATGCACACCATTTATACTCATCAAATAACTTTGAGCTTTACCTAGTCCTCCAAATTTGGTAAGTTTGGCAAGATAAACCGTTAAATGATAAACTAGGTCAAGCTTATAACTCTAATTAAGAAAATAAAAATATTTTTATCAATATGAAATCTTAGTTTAACTAAATTAGTTTTTGTATCTAAACGGATTATTGTTCTTTTATGGATCCCTTTTTATTATATCAAAATGTGCTTTGTATTTTGCGAATTTTTTTAGCTATAAAATCTCAATTCCTTTATAACATATCATTTAAACTATAAAGCAAGCAAATAATTATGTTTCTTAATTGGTTATAAAAGATGCATGAAATTAGCTCGAACAACAAATTCTGTATAATTACTAAAAATATAAAAAAATAATAGACTGTTGGATCAGAATTCGCTATGTAAAAATATTTCACAAGCCATCAAAAATCCAATAGATGTCAAATAGGTGTCGATTGTCTAAAAGAATATCGATATTGAATTTTAAAACATTACAGTTTTTTCGACACAGTACGTAATCGACGATAACGATAAGCACATTTGGTGATCATCGAAAAACATGGATTATAAAAAGTCGCTTTTTCATTAATACGACGACCCTTAGAATTTTGAGACATTTCAGCACACAAATGATTATTTTGCAAGCTTCGAGAGATCAACCAATTTTCCAAAACTTCATTCGTGAACTTTGAACGTAAAATTGCCACAATGTCAAGTCTTAACACGATAAACGCTAACACTAATAATAAAAAATGTTTGTCAAGTCTAGTCTAGTTAATTTCAAAATTTCAGCAAATATGGTTATTGTTTCACAAGATATTGTGCAAAACGTGATTTTTTTCTGTTTTCATACAGAAATGAATTGTTGCAAATAATATTATTAGTAATATAATTATGTTTAAACATTTAAATATTCATTTTCGTAACTTTCATTTTAACTTACTTATTAGACTTTTGACATTGATTTATATTATTGATATCCATTTAGATTTTTATATTTATTTAGTAAATTACTATATTTGAAATCTAAATGTAAAATTTTATTTGAATGTTAAATTGCAATGGAAAGAACTAAATTATTGGTATGTTTTAATATAATTATTCGGATATAATAGGTTTATAATTAAAATTTAATATTTAATCATGCACTATTCGAAAAATATGACTTTTACTTGGCCAGGTAGAAAAGGGTTGGTACACTAGTGGTTTTTTTGTGAACCTCTAGAGGAGTTCCAAATTCTCTAGTGGTATTGGTGATTTTCTCCTAAATTTAATGAATTATTAGAAATTTATTAGAAAACCACTACCTGTATACAGTACCCTGGCCTGGTATTATTCAAAAATACTTGATTTTGACATTGAATAGTACTGGCTGAAAACTTATCGATATTTAAAGATCCCGAAGGTTCGAATCTCTGCTAGGAGCATTTATTTACTAACTGAGACTTGAACCTTCAGGATCTTAAATCTTGATAAATTTTGAGCCAATTTTTGTGAAAATTAGTGCGCAACGAATTTTGTAGAGTATAATATTTTTAATTAGGGGTCCAAATCTGGATCCGTCATAGAAAATCAAGTTATTCAATGTGAGAAGTTTACTAATTAAAAATCTCGATTTAAATTACCCAGATTTACAAAAAATAATCTGTTGTCAAAATATTTTTAAAAATATTAGAAGACTTGTGATTCAAACCGAGCAATTTTTTATTTTGTTTGGAATGATATTAACGAAGATAAAAATTCTAGAAAATTTTGATCGCGTGTTCCATTTCTTGTGTGAGTCTGTAATCAAATTGAAACTAGATGTGATAGATGGATGCTTGTTGTATATATGTTGGTTTTGCTGCAAATGATTGTGATATCAGAAGATTGTAAAAAGAAAAGAGGTTAAAAGAGGAATGAGATTCTGATCTTGAGAAAAATTGGATTAATTAATTTTATTTTTTGATATAATTTACCGTTATTTATAAGAGTGCACAAGGTAGCCCGCCCTATTTCCGTGAACTTTTTATTGTTAGATATAAGATATTTTATATGTTAATATTTTTTTATAAAATTTTGCACATCAAATCTATAACAACTAGTGTATTTAATTATATATACTGTCCTATTTCCGTGTACCTACATGTTTTGTAATTATATACTTAGTCAAATTTAGATTTTTTATTTATATATTTTTTAGATTTATTTCTCGTTTTTTATTTAATTTATTGCATAATTAATGCATGTAATACCAATTTTGTGTTAATTCTTTGTAGCCTAACCTATATTTTCGTGCACTTAATATCTCAAGATTTTATAAAAATAGACTCAATTTTATTTATATTATAAATTACTATAGAAAAAACACAAATATACCTAAAAATTATATTTTGAACATATTTAATTCATAACCTAAAGTAGGTTTTTATAATAAAATTATGAGATATTGAGTACACGGAAATAGGTGCATGCAAGGAAAGAGGGAGGACTACCTTATATAAATACTTTTTCGAGTAAGCAAGTTGCCTAACGTTAAACAATTTATGTTATTTTAATAACGATAATACGTATGTAAATAAAAAATATCGACACTGTGTGTTTATCGTTATAAATTATGTTAGTAGTTGTCGTTATCTTTATTGTTTATCGTTATGATTATCTTTCACCATTCTTTTAATACCTTCATTTATCAACACTTTACAAATCTTTCTCGTATTTTTCTTTCCAATCTCACACTCAAGAGCACCAATGTAACACTCAAACATTTCACCCAAGACATTAATATTTTCTCTTAAATTTTCTTTACAATGATTAACTACAAGTTGAGATAGTTGTTCCTTAGCGAGTTCAGCATGATACTTTCTGCTTATTAATGTATCTTGGATTTTTGCAAGCTTTGCAATCGTCTCATTTGGAAACTTTTTTAGTAAAGTTTCACGAACTAAAAAGTTCCACGTATTGTCTCCAATCCATGCCAATTTGGCTTTATTATGTTTTGACGTTGAAGTAGATCTGTTAGACAAGTGTGCAATGACCGTTTGGTAAAGTAATTTGTTTTTAATTGTGGGTAATATTCTATACGGTGGGGTTCTCTTAGCTGCTAATAATTTTATTTGTGACATGATTTTGTTTTTCATTTTCTCTCCCTCACCCTTTATATATATATATATAATTCAAAACAATAAATCGCATGAGCATAAATCAAAATGCAATTTATTTTGATAAAATCAATTTATTTATTATGCTAAATTTGAATTACTTGTTAATATGACTTCAATATTCGAATTAGTTACAACTACAGTTTCATAAGAATAAGTTTGTCATTGATTATATTAAAAATTGTATTTTATGAATACTTATAATATGATACATGTAAATTTTATTAGTTAGATAAAGAAAATTTGTGTTTTTTTGCTTGAATTTATGGTTTATTTGATGGCTCAATTTTTTAGTATTGAACAAACAAAAACTTAATTTATCAGGTCAGAGTGCATGTCTTTGTTAGACATATAACAACTAAACTAGAATTCGATATTTTAAATAATCTATCATTAAATGTTTAACTTGAACACTTAATTGTCTCGATTCCGTAGCTACAAAAGATTTTTTCCGGTACGTATCTGGTTTTTTATTCCATTTTTTTTTTAATTTTTAATTTGAGCAATTTTTTTATAATTGTTAGCATTATTTCAATGTTGTAAAATTTAATTGTTGTTAATGATGTGATTTTCATTTCAGTAAGTTGGAAAGTTAAATATAACGGCGTGATAGTAATAATACGAACAATCACATTCTTTTTCGATGAATTTTCTTTACAATCATCCTGATTAGTATTCTCTTGACATTAAGATAGCGGACTATTATACATTCATGAGACTGATTAATTTCTTGAGTGATTTTTCGTTGCGAAATTTTTCTTGTTGAAGTCTATGTGAAATCCACACCTTGAACTTGCTGCTAAAATAATTGATGTACAGTTTTTGCAAGACAAAGTTTCTTTTGTGAATATGTTGTTTTTAACATCTATAGAAATATTGCATTAATGCAGTAATCTAAAAATATAAAACTCAGAATGAGAAAGAGAAAGAGAAATTAAAATTTCGGATTATTTAAGACACTTGAATAAGAAATAAATGAAATATTATAAGTCAAATAAAATCCATTGAAAGGATTTCAATTCATATTAATTAATTATCCTTTACAAAAAATGAACATCTGTATTTAGTATGGTGTTATATATTTTAGCAGATAAATTGCTTTCGTTAAAGCTAATGCTAAAAAGTTAAACAATTATGATCCAGTACAAAAAGATTGGCATCTTAAAATAAAAATTAATAATTGCTTCTAATAAAAGTCATTCAAAATTTAACTAAACTATATTTTTCTTTACAATAAGTAAAGAATAATTTAAACTAATTATTTTTATTATTCTTTTATACTTTTATAAATATATTTAAGTATTATTTTTATCAATTTGCAATATTAGAACTTCAAATTATAAAGCATATTGCTATATATTTAATAAAAATATATTTTAAATTTCATAAAGCTTGAATTAATAATTATTACAAAATTAAGTTTCAAAGTTTAATAATTAAATTTATTATTTATATTTTATATAAATAACTTGAATTTATTTGTATTACTAGTAGTATATTATACTATATTATGAAATATTTTGATAGCAATTATATTTTTTAATAGTTTTTTAAATATATATATAATTATATAATTAATTATTTTATAAAATTTTGTTTTTAAAAAATAAAAATAAAATTTTTTAACAACTTATTTTTGTTTTTGGTAACTATAATAATTTTATAATTAAAATACTTTTTGTATTATTCTTATACTTATTTTCAAAAATTCTGTAATTAATGAATTTTTTAAAAATATAAAAATCTTCAAAAATAGTAACAAAACAACAAATTGACAAAAATAGTCTATACATATTAATTATATAATTATTATTACTATCTACCTTTTCTACTTTTACTTTCTATCTTTTTTACTCTTTTTTTCTTTATTATCTATCTTTTCTATCTTTTATATCTTTATTATCTACCTTTTTTATCTTTTATATCTTATTTATCTATCTTTTTTACCTTTATTAATTACCTTTTCTATATTTTTTACCTTTTCTATCTTTGTTATTTATCTTTTTTATTTTTTCTATCTTTATTATTTACCTTTTCTATTTTTGTTATTTACCTTTTCTATCTTTTCTACTTTTGTTATTTATCTTTTCTACTTTTATTATTTACCTTTTTTACCTTTATTACCCTTACTTTCTATTTTTTCTACCTTTTTTTATTTATCTTTTCTATCTTTTATATATATTATTTTATAATTTTATAATATAGATAAAACCAAAATGTATTGAGAAATTTTGTATAAATAGGAGTGCTCTCTTATATTTCAATTTCATGTTTTAATACTTAAACAAATTAATAAATTTTAATCTTGATACAATAAGTTAATGACTGTTTTATTATTATAAAATTAATATTTAAACAAGTTGTCTGACAAAAATAATTTGTTGATTAATCTTCAAATCTTGTAATTCAAGTCACTTTTCATAAATTTTGAGCAAGATCAAAAAATTGAATATTGATTTGTATAGAATTAAAATTCTGATTATTACTTTTGTCTTTAAATTTGGAAAAGATGATTAAAGTATTTTTGAATAAGTATATTAATTTGCTATAGTATTAGTTTTGATATAATTGTGCACTATAACTTTAAATAAGTGATATTGATTTGTATAGTTGTATATTACAACTTTAAATAAGTGATATTAATTATATAATTGTGTACCATAACTCTAAATAAGTGATATTTCTTTTAGTTAATCATTTTTTTTGGTATTAAAAGCACTAGAATATATAATTAAAAATATAGAAACATCAGTACTCTTTTCTTTAGTTAATAACTTTTATTAGTTAATCACCTTTTTAAACACACTCTTTCAATTCTTTTGATCTTTAATAGAATTATTTAACAATTTCTGTCAAAATTGGCACAGGTTTAGATACTTATTTTTATATTGACCAATTTTATTAGTCTATTTCTCTCTTCCAACTCATATGACTCTTTTATTAATAGTGAAGAAACTCTTTATTTAAAGTAATTGTAGTATTATATTATATATAATATAGTCAAAATTTCAAGAAATAATATATAAAAAATTTTTTTAATTTTATTATTAAATAATATTAAATAAATTAAATAATATTAGAGTATCTAACAAATTTTTGTATATAAAAATATTTAATTTTATAAGTTTCTAAATTTTTTATATATTTTTCAAATTATATTATATATAATACAAAGATCTAAATTCAATTTGTTAATTTTAATTAAGTTTTATATAGTAAAATTTATGAAATAAAAATTTAAAAAAGTTATTACTAGTAAAAATTTTCTTATAAAATATATATAACTATTTTAATTAATTCTAATATTTAATAACTTAATTAAATAAAACAAAATTAAAATTTTATTTTAAAAAATAATTATTTAAAATGCAAATTTTTTTGCATTGAATTATATATAAATAATAAATTAAATAAATTAATATTTAGATTATTAACTTAATATTATTAGATATATTATGACAAAATAAAATTTTTTATTATAAAATAATACAAATTTTTATATAGTAAATCTTTAAGTATTAGACTTTTAAGTCTAATTTTAATTAAAAAAACTTTTTGATTTAAAAAGAATTTTTCTTTTAGCTAAATTTTATCAGATAAAAAAATTTTATTTTAAAAGAATTTACTTAGAAATTACTATATATTAATAAAATTTATTTTATTATTTTGCCAAATTTTTTTAATTCTTATATATTTAACTAAATTTAATTTGTCTTTATATGTTAAGTTGAATAAAATAATTTTTAAGAGTTTTATATTATTAATAATATACATATATATTAATTATATATTTTGCACATATATTTCTAATTTAAAAATTATTTGAGAAAATTTATATAAAATAAAATTATCAATTTGACTATATTATTTAACTATAGATTGAATATAAAAATTAAATAAAATATATTTATTAATAAAACAAAACAAATTTATTAAAAATAAGATAATAAAATATTCAAAAAATATTTAATACAAATTATTAATCTTATAACTTAATATAATAAATAAAATCTAAAGTTATTAAATATTTATTTTATAAAATATATCAATTTCTTTATTAAAAAATAAACACAAAATTTAATTTGTGAATATATTTAAAAAAATCTATTTTATTATATTTACAAATTAAATTTTGTATTTATTTTTTAGTAAAAAAATTTATAAATTAATAAAATATTAAATATAAAATAACTAATAATTAAATAAATAATAATTTAATAATAATATAAGTAAAAATATTATTACAAGTTTGTTTACTAATTATTAAATTAGCTTATAAACTTGAATTTGAATTGGAAAAGAGTAATATACTAATAAAAATATTAAAAGAAAAAGAGAAATATCTAAAATCCATGTCAATTTCTACAGAAATTATATTAACTTAAAAAGAAATAATAATATAGAAGAGTTGTGAAAAAATAAAGATCAAAGAGAAAAAAGAATATAAAAAAATAAAAGAATAATAAGAAGATTTAAAGACTAATTTTCTGTATTTGTATAAAGCTTTTCAGAACTAAGATAATTTAATTAATAATAATAATAACAAAGACTTTTTTACTTTATTTTTCTTACAAATAAAAAATATTTATTAATAATCAAAAATTAAAATAACAAAAATTAAAATACTTAAAATTTAAATTTAATAATTTTAATAAAGTGATTTGTTTAGTATAATATAATATAAAACTTATTAATTTAATAATAGCAATTTGTTTGACACAATATAATCTAAAGTTCAAAGTTAATAATAGTGATTTGCTCAGTGTAATATAATATAAAATTATTAGTAATTTATTAGATATAATATAATATAAAACTATTTATATACAAGATTTAAAGTATATAAAGAAAATATGAAAAATAAAAGATATTTGAAAGAAAATTTTTATTAAAAGAGATTTTTATTTTTAGTTATAATATGTTAAGTTAAGATTCAGATAATAATTTTATTTATATGTTTTTTGAATACAAAAAGTAAATTAAATAAATAAAAATAAAATAACTAATTATATAAAAGTAATAAATTGAAAAAGTAAAATAATAAAAAAGTAAACTAATATATATAAAAATAAAATAATAAAAAAGTAAAATAATATATATGAAAGTAAAAAATAGAAAAAGTTAAATAAAATAATATATAAAAGTGAAATAATGAAAAAGTAAAATAATAAAAGTGAAATAATGAAAAAGTAAAATAATAAAAGTGAAATAATGAAAAAGTAAAATAATATAAGATGATTTTACTATGAATATTTTTGAAATTTTTATGTTTTTCAATTATTTTTGAAATTTGCAATTTTTATATTATTATTATAATAATATAATATAACAATATCTTAAATTAATTATAGTATAATAATAATAATATAAAAATAGTAAATTCAAAAATAATTAAAAAATATGAAAAAATATTTGTATGATAGTAAAACTTCTCAAATTATTTTATTATTTTTAATTATTTTCAATTATTTTCAATTATTTCTAATTATTTTTTATTATTTTTTGATTATTTTTTATTATTTTTTGATTAATTTTATCATTTTTTGATTACTTTTTATTATTATCTGATTATTTTTTATCATTTTCTGATTATTTTTCATTATTTTCTAATTGCTTTTCATTATTTTTAATTACTTTTTATCATTTTTTAATTATTTTTCATTATTTTATTTTTTAACATTTTTTGATTACTTTTCATTAATTTTATTTTATTTTTCATTATTTTTTATTATTTTTTATTATTTTTTATTATTTAATTTATTCTTTTGATTATTTTTTATTATTTATTTTATTTTCTTATTAATTTAATCAAATTATCTTATTTTTAGTTAGTTATTATATTCTAAAATTGTATTTTTGAAAAATATATAAATAAAAATACTGTCTGAATTTTAACTTAACATGTTGCAAATAAAAAATAAAATTTTTTATTAATAAAAATCTTTTTTTAAACAATATTTGCCTCTTTCACTTTCAATTATATATATCAAAACTTGTATACAAATAGTTTTGAATTATATTATATTAAATAAAATATTATTATTGATTTTGGACTTTGAATTATATTGTGTCAAACAAAATATTATTATTGACTTTAAACTTTAGATCATATTATATTAAACAAATTATTGTTATTGAATTATTAGCTTGATATTATATTATACTAAATTAATAACTATTATCAAAATTATTAACTTTAAATATTAAGTATTTTGATTTTTATTATTTTGAATTTGATATTTTGATATTTCTTATTTGTGAAAAGAACAAAGTAAAAGAGTTTTTGTTATTGTTATTACTATGTCTTAGCTCTGAAAAGCTTGATATAAGTACAGAAAATTAGCTTTTCAAACTCTTTTTATTATTTATTCTCTTATATTTTATATTTTTTACTTTTCACAACTCTCTTATATTATTATCATATTTTTGAATTTTTCATAAAAATTGATATAAAATTTAGATACCTCTTTTTTCTTTTAATATTTTGTTTATAGTTTAATTCTCTTTCCCAATTCATTTCCAAGTTTGTAAGCTAATTTAATGATTAGTAAACAAATTTGTAACAATAATTATATTAAAATTATATATATATAAATTAATAGTATTACTTGATCTAAAACAAGTACTATATCTATATGCTAGAAAAAATATCTTCTTTGTTACAAAAATTAATTCAAAAATAGAATTTGGAGAAAAAAATAACTATAGATAATATATCATCCATAATTAAAGCACTTTGATTAATATCTAGTATTGAAAGAATTTCATATATTGCACATTATTTATTCGAATCCAACCACTAGGATGAATGGCCAGCAATTACTTTCTTGCGGCTGACCACCTGTTGCTTGTTCTGGATGAAGATGGGTTCTGTGAGCAAGAATGAGTCAACAAATGGGCGTTTCTGCAGGTTGTGGTAGGCATTCCGATGACGATTGAGCCTTACTAATAAATTCCTTTCAATTGTCTTGGTTGATCTGCATTCTGTCGAACGGATGGTAAAAACAGGTAAAAGTTTGAGTGACATATCTTTCTGGCCAAGCCGCAGTGGGACAAGTTGAGAGAGCATACATTTGCATGTGTCGATGGCTCCCTTTGCAATTGATCTCTGGTAGATCACCCATAGCCGGAACACTAACACTGAGATGGTCAGCCTCTTGTTTTGATCCAGTAAAATCACGTTGTCTAGAAACTCGATGACCCTGATAGGTGGAAGCGCGTCAAGATTCCGATGAGAGTAATTTTCATGAAGAGTGAGAAACGGAAGCTTGAGCCTCTTGTTCTCGTTTCCATCAAGGAAAATGAGCTCCTCTTTCTCTAAGCCCTGTGAGGAGAATATAAAAGTTAGTGCACGCAATTGTCAAAATTTTAAGCGTACTTACCTCAATTTTACGCTTCTTAATAATACTGATTGTGTCTGTCCGATCAACAGGCCACCAAAACAAAGTGTATGCAACCAAGGAGAGAATTATTTCAAGATTATCTTTTGATGTGAAATGGTCAAGTAACGTCTTTTCATTGATGTGTTGTTTCGTTCTCTTGAGGAGCTCTTGACAATATTTTGGTTGATAATGGCATTCTTGTAAGAAGTAACGTAACCCACTTTGGCAAAATGTGTTACCAACTGTGACTTCCTTATTAGCAACAGCTGAACCAATGACACTCATTTGAAAGATCATGGCTTCGAGGAACCGGCCGACGACGCCAAGAAGCTCAATTATGTATTTCAGATGCTCGGAGAGCTCATTGATCCTACCAATAGCAAATTCAATACCAAAATTGTATGCAATGTTACAAAATACACAGCCCAAACTGATACTCACCTTTCTGTTTCACCAACCACCTGACAAAGATATCAGATTAGGTTATCTCAGTATCAACTAACAGCAAATGCCAATAATTATAACTCACCTCTCCCCCCGGTTGGCTAGTTCAAACAAAACTTCTTCAGCATGTTCGGACTTGAGCAGTGGTAAAGATATGTCTTCGGTTTTTGCATTACTTGACTGTATCAAACAAAGCGATAATTTATAATTGCAATATCATGAATTAAAAACTCAGCAATCGGATTAATGATTGATGATTCCGTGTGCTTTCTAAAATAAGATCACCAACTTCACGTCTGCTCTTACTACTTCTAAATCGATAGATTTGACTAGAAAAAGATGAATGAAATAAATAATATGTATATTAATATATATTTAAAAAATAATTTATAAATACTTACAATTTATATAATAGATGTCTTATTGCACAGTACATTTTGTTTTTATCAGTATAAACTTCTGGTATTCTATCATCATCTTCATTAATAATACGTTTAATAAAATGATTATATTCCTCAGGGACTTCTTCTAAGTCTATTTCTTTATTGATATCATTCCATAATGCTTACGTGAGTCCCTGATAAGACAACGAAGAGAAAATATCCGTTCGAGATGGTTCTCGCAAGAGACCTAAGAGCCGTCGGGAGCCAGTTGCCATTTTGTGAGTCAAACAGCGCGTTTGTCTCGTCGATGCTGATGATAAAGAGGAGAGCTTAATCTGATCATTTCAAACACGAGATGTAATATAGAATTACATCAAGAATGCTCTCGAAAGCAAACCTACTTCCTAAAATTTGGCTAAATTTTGCAAAACTGTTGATACTACAAGAGCGCTTACAAATAAGTATAATGATATCACAAGCATCGCAAATTGTTGAAGATCAAATATGAAATGAAAGATCTTACTCCAGCCGATATTTCAAAGCCTCGCATAGCAAAATTTTTCTAAAAGACGCCTCAGGGTTCTCCATAAGCTCTGCCTCTGAAAAATCATCACATGCAATTCGAAAATTCCAACCTGCTTCATGACATTCTCTTACCGTCTCTACAACTTCAGATTTTACAACCTTAGAGTAAATTTCTGAATTGTCATACGCTCGCCGAGCAAATGTGGCTTTTCCTTTTCCGGCCGTCCCTACAGCCGTGGGGAACCTTATTTCCTTTTTGAGCTCCGGATATTTTTTGAGATTTTTGACGAGGTAATACAACTTAGCCATGTTCAACTGTTTGATCTCTTCTTCACTTCAGGTAAGTCGAAACGTTGGGAACACCATCCGGGACATTATCGAATTTTGAAATTGATTCACGAAGTGGGTCTGGTGGCTCACCAACATGTGGATCAAGAATCTTCTTGATAACCTTGATGATTTTGGGTTTTTTAACGATAACGTGAATTTATTTTTTGGGCGTTGTTTGATGATAAGCAGCAAGAAAGAAAGAAAGCACAAGATTTAGTATTCGTTATTATTAACAAATATGATACTGCGCAGGTGAGAATGAAACAACGGCTATCAAAAAGTTAATTTCACGTTCACTTGCGTTGACTAAATTTACTACGAATCACTTACCTTGTTTATTAATTTGGAAGGCTTCTTTAAATCATTATGCGAGGCATCTGGAATTATTTCTTTGTATTCTCTTGTAAAAACTAGAAAATCCATGTTATTTTTCAGTTACGGTTCGAAAAATCATTTGATCCACCCAAGTAACAGCAGTTGATAAAATACATATACATATTCAACTTTATAAATCTATAACGATAACCAATAAAATTGCAGTGTTTATTTTCACGTTTGTTTCTTTTTACATACAATTTTTCAAAAAGAGGACCTAATTAATAATTTCTGTTATTACTTTAGACTTGCAAACATTCGAATTTTTTAGAGCTTGTAACTAACAATTATATATTGTATGCCTAAGTAACTATTTATTAGATTACACACAATTAAAAGCTAAATACATGTAATAAGGTTAATAATTGATTCTAGAATTTAAGGATATTTAAGCTTAAAAATCCTTACGCTATTAAAGTTTTTTGATTTATCAGAGATTATACATTTAGCAATTTCAACTATAACACTGAATTATCTCCTCGAGTTAATCCAGCAATACATAGATTCGCAGGTTTCACTCAATCAAAAGATGAAGAGTCTTAGAATGGTTAATCATCATAATTTATTAGGATTTTCCGTGCCCCTATCTCGAAAAAATGACCCAGCCAATAATAAAACCAATTCCAATAATAAATCCTATTAATCCCCACATGTTGGGATCATAAATAAGAGGTAGTTGTAGTTGTTCTAGTTGTCGTAGTTGTCGTCGTACTCGTAGTAGAAATTGTAGTTCTTGTACTTCTTCTCGTCCTAGTTGTTCTCGTTGTCGTTGTCGTTGTCGTTGTCGTCGTAGTTGTTCTCGTTGTCGTTGTCGTTGTCGTTGTCGTCGTCGCATTAGTTGTGGTTGTTGTCGTCGTATTAGTCGTGGTTGTTGTCGCATTAGTTGTGTTTGTGGTGGTTGTGATGGTTGTTGTAGTTGTTGTTGACTTCTTCGTCTTCGGAATCTCTCTTTTGCCATGTTCAAAGTTATTGAAGTAAAGAACAGAGCTCATTTATAGAACATGTATTATACGTAACGTCATACATCGTGAGATTTTTGCTACAAATTCGATTGGCTGACAATCTAAAGTTTATCGTAACGTGTACGAACAATTACGTAATCTACCTAATTGTCTGGGGTGTGATATATGAACATACACACCCCTACAGTATATTACCGGAAATTTCAAAAATGAATTTGTCACTTTGTAACCCGATATCTCGACATCCAGTGATCCCATTCGAACAAAAATATCACCATTAGCTTTGCATAGTCGAGGCGAACCTAATGGTAATATTTTTGTTCGAATGGGATCACTGGATGTCGAGATATCGGGTTACAAAGTGACAAATTCATTTTTGAAATTTCCGGTAATATACTGTAGGGGTGTGTATAGTACCAGTCATTTACAATAATGGTCAGCGATGTGATAGGCACCTGGAATTTAGGGAATACCCCGAGTACGCGTGACAGTCATTTACGATAATTGAACCAGTAAGTTTTTAACTTCTGTCCTGTATAATATCATTAGGTAAGTAGCAATGATGATAAATTTTGAGATTATTTGCCTTTTTTTCAAATGATCTTGGTCATTTTCGGCTAAAATTTATAATAAAATTGAGGTCACTTAAGGTCATTTGAGATCATTTGAGGGTCATTTCAAGGTTATTTATCATCACTGGTGAGTAGAGCTAGTTTTATACTCATACAGGGATCAGATGATAGAGCCAAGCTGATTGGGTTTCTTACCGACAGTGAATCTGGTCACGCAAGGTTACAATCATCCCAATCCTTGCACTATAAGTCTTCGGAATCTGTTAATTGCCTCTTTCGAGGGTGAGCCGGTTATTCAATTAACCCTGTAAACAATTTTTTGATCCTTGTTCCTCCATATACATGTATCATACTGCTATCATACATATTTATGTGCCACCAAAATAAGTAGGAACCTAACGTTACTTTGATTACTTCGGTTACTTTGCTTACCAAACATGTTCACTGACACGGGAACAACTAACAAATGGCTGAGTACGTGAATCTTTGCATTGCATTTTTTTGCGTTTTCTCCAACTATGTTCCTATTGGGATGAAGAATCTCTTCCGTTAGTCCAAGAAGTGAGGAAATGGAAACGTACTGATGTTATTGAGAACCTTCAAAAGAGTGTGGAACTTGACGAAGATGATATTGAAATACTCAAGAAGGAAAAGATTTCAGGTTCAGATTTTCTTCTCCTGACTAAAAAAGATCTCAAAGAATTTGGGTTGAAATCCGGACCAGCGACGAGAATTGCGGAGTTTGTTAAGGCGATCAATGGAGATGAAAAAGCATCGGATAACATAAAGATATTGGAATTTGAATCGTTGCGGGAGCAACTCAAAAAATCTACTTATGGTGGGTGCTTACGATTGTAACAGTTCGCCGATAAGCTCTTTATTAATACCATTTGTCGCAATACACCAGAATTCACTGTTGTAGTTCACCCAAGCCGAAAGAAAGGGTTGGAGTGGACGGCTAATTTGGAAAATGTAACCATCGATCAGTTCAAAGAAGAGGTAATTTCTGTGGCCAAGCCAAATATAGATTTAAAAAACGCAGTGTTCAACTTTGCAATTGATGGCGATCCCAGAGACGATCCAACATTTCGTAGGATGCTTCGCTTGTTTGTCAACAACACTCTCAAGTTCAGGGCGTACTTGGAAACAAGCTCCAAAGCGTTCAGCGAAACAATCTCAGTGATGAAGTAATCCAAATTTTTCACAAATTTTTCCAGTCTTCGAATGTCACCATACTAATATACCGATGAGAAGTTCCAAAACGTGTTGGATAAACTACTGATTAATTTGGAGATCCACCTCGAAGTCATTTTTCTTGACGACAATGAAGCTTCGAGGTCACTGGTTATATCTTTATACCTAGTAGCTTGTGCAAGTCTTCTCAAGGGAAAATTTTTAGTACGGCCACGGTAACTCCTCTGGACACGGGCCTGTGAATTATGCGATCGACCGGTTCTTCAAGTTATTGAGAAAGATTGGGAGAACTGTTGGCGTGACTGAACTTAAGAGAGAAGATTTCAGACAAGGTGTTGCCCAGAATATCGTACAAATGGAGTCGTCTTTAGTGAACCGGAAGCGTAAAGATAATGAGAAGGAAGAGGAGTTAACAGGTGATAAAGTTTCGGGATTGTAATAGACGCTGAGAAATGGTTTTTTTCTGGAATGTTCACTCGACGATCAGGAAAAACCAATGTTCAAGCTGTTTAAACCGGTGATCGTTGACTATAAAGATGCTGATATGAAGAACAAGGTGAAGAAGGTACTTTCTCATATTGTATGGTTGCTGGAAGAGGTTGAGAAGGCGGAAATGATTGAGCAGGGAAATAAAAGGTTAGATTCGAATAATTGTTGGTTTGTTGAAGGATAGGCCATCAGCAAAACAACGTCGCGTTTATGGGCCGTGTGTAATTTATTAATAAAGCATGGTTTTTCAGTTAATATAAATTATATAGTATACCCGAAATGAGTGAATTGTCTATCGAAAATCAAGATACAGTGATCGAAACAGAATTCGAAGTCATCAATGACCCTAATCCATTGATTCGCATAGGTGATGCAAAGTCGACCCGAGTTTCAGTGAAAAATCGCCCATTTTCCCTATTTTTGGTCACGATTTCTGTCATGTGCTTTGTTTCGGGTCCCTAAATATTTATTTGGAAAATTACCGTAAAGTCCCGAAAGTAAGCAATCCAGAAAATAAGCAACTCTCCCCTCTTGAGCTTTCAAAGTCTTAGTATATATTGTTACAAGTTTGTTCACTAATCGTTAAATTAGCTTACAAACATGAACCTGGGTTGGGAGAGAATATAAATTGATAAAGAAAATATTAAAAGAGAAGAGGGGTATCTAAGACCTATGCCAATTTCTATGGAAATTGTGTTTATTTGAAAAGAAATAATAATATGGGAGAGTTGTGGGAGAGTAAAGATTAAAGGGGAGAGAGAATAAAGAAATAATAAAGAGGATTCAAAGAGAAATTTTATATTTATGTAAAGCTTTCTAGAACTAAGGTAATATGATTAGTAATAACAATAACAAAGACTCTTTCACTTTGTTCTTCTTACGAGTGAGAAATATTCATTAACAATTAAAAATTCAAAATAACAAAAAGTAAAAATACTTATAAATCCAATTTCAATAATTCCA